GCCACGGTGGAGAAACAACAATCTGAAGCTGCCTTCTCCGGTTCCCTTGGCCGCTGGCGCCATCTGCTGGTCAAGGAGCAGCCACAGATCCAAATGGCAGACATGCTCCATCCAGGGAGGTTGAACCCCGTCCCGGAGCCCCTCCATCTTGCTAGGATTCAGAGGGAGCCAGTTGGGGCTATCTAGTCCTCCATCTCCTCCAGGCCCCGGCTGAGGACTTCCACCCTATCTCCAGCCCAGGGAGGAACTGAGCCTCGGCGTATTGATGGTACCTTACCATTGCAGACTAGATTACTACGACGCACACTGCTTGGAACAGCCCTTGAGGACTACCCTGAATCTCTGGATAGCCTCTGCCAGCAGTTTCCTAGAGATGTAAAATAGCCGATCTCTCAAAGGAAAAAAACAAGGGGGTGACTGCTCATCCCCCACCCCCCGCTAGCGGATGGTTGTGCTACAGGTGGTCCTCGTTTAGTGACTGCCTCATTTAGCAATCATTCGCAGTTACAACAATGATAAAAAAAAGTAATTTTATGACCAATGCTTGCATTTACAACCCCCCGCATTCCCTACCCTAAGAGGCGGTCCACAGTCAAGGGTCTCAAATGCTGCTGAGAGGTCCAACCAGGAAGGCCTCTCTCTCCCACCCAGGACCTGGTGATGGTTATCCACCAATGCTGTTTCTATACTGATTTGGACCCAGACTCAAAGGGATCCAGTTAATCTGCTTCATCATTTTACTTGCATGGGGGCCCACCCGCTCTACCTCTAAAGGAGCAAATACAGGCAGAAGAATGGCAGCGATAGAAGCCCAAAGGGTGACATTTCTCAAAATACCAAACTGGAGCCCCTCCGTCTTCTCCTTCCCCTGCTCCCCCCAGGCCCTCGGCTGGGTCAGGGAATTGTCTTCTCTTCCAGCAACAAGCTCTGTGTTGTTTCAGAATAGGAAAGCAGTAACGTTCTGTGTCCCACCACCAGAACACCCCGCACCCCAGAAGGAAGTATTTGGCCCGACTTTACATGGAAATCTTTTTGGGATTGCAAGTGTATTAAGATCCTTTTTTATTTCTCCTCTTTTCTCCTTTTTCAGCTCTCGGAACCAGAGCACGCAGCCAGCCTGATCCGGTCCCATTCCCCTGTCGTTTCGGTCAAAGAGATCGTGACCGAAATCGAGTCCATCCACCAGGGAGGAGGACAGGGGCCGGCAAAGGCAGAGGCCGCAAGCAGTCCAGCCCCAGCACCCAAGAGGAACGCCCTCCACGAGGGGCCAGCCGAGGCGACCTGGCCTTGGGAAAGCAAGCACGGGAAGGGTGAGGAGGGAGGGGACGGGGTTGGACCTGTCCCGAAGGAAGCCGCTCGAGAGCCTTTGAAACTGGATCCCGAAGGGGCTGGGGTCCCCCCAACGCCTTCCTCTAAGCCAGACGCGGAAGGGAGGGGCTCGGCCGAAGACCCGGCAGAGGGCCGAGGGCTCCCTGGGCCCAAATGGTGCCCCGGCTCTGTCCGACGTGCCACCCTGGAGTTTGAAGAGCGCCTCCGGCAGGAGCAGCAGGACCTGCAGCACGCGTCCCCCATCACCCTCTTCCCCGTCCGGAAGAACTCCCGGAACGAATCCACGGGGGCTGACCTGGCCGGGAAGGGCAGAAGCGATGACCCGCCCCACGAGCCGGCCCAGCTCGCGAAGGGCAAGGAGGCCTCGAGGGCTGGGAGCGGCTCCGAACCGCCGGCCGAACCTTCTCCCACACCCAACGGCCCCGCAGAGGCGGCGGGATTGGCCCGGGAGCACAGGATGGTGCTTTTGATGGAGAGCGACGAGGGGGCTCCTCTCCTCAACCCCCTCCCCAAGAGAATCGAGATCATTGAGTACACGCACGCATTGCCCAGCCTCC